AAGAGCTCCACTCTCTCTCCTAGTCCATGACTTGAAGTGTTCTTATTCTCTCAGAAGACTGGAGAGAATTGAAAGGACCCTATATGAGAATGCTAGGCTTTATAGAACATTTCATAGTTCAAAAATCACGGTCACTTTTTGGTAACTTACAATAACCCTATGAAATACAAAGAAAATCAAGAAACAATGACATCAAATGATCACCAGTAAAGTATTCCAGTCACTGACTATCTTTTAACACAGGGTACAGTCCATGGTCCTTAAGAAGAGCTAGTGGAAATGCCTTGCCTACTGTTGCAAGGTGCCTGATTGCTGTGTTTGTATATAGAAGGAGTATCTCAATTGCCCAGGACTGACTTTTTCCTTGATTCCTTTGTAGTGATGGAAACTTCCCCGGTGATGAAGACGTCCCTGGGATTGCAACCTCCAAGCCAGGAACAAGCAGAGAATAAGAATTCAGAAGAGATGAAAACCAAGCTTTTGAAGCCACTGGATGCCTACCAGATCCCAATAGAAAACCAAGATCTTCCACTACTCCCTTTAGCAATCCCCGATATTCGCCAGATTCTGGCCTGCATTGATCCTCCTGGTCAAAAGGAGCACNTAATTAACTACCTTCCCTGATCTACTGCTTTAGTCTCTTTGGAAGGCACTTCAGAATTCTTATGTGGTAGTGACAGTTTAATTTTCCTTAATTTACAGCAGGATTTAAGATCTTGTGTTCAGAGATCCTGCCCAAAGCAAGCCCGCTCAGAATGCATCCTTGCTTGTGTATTTCATGAGGAAGAGCTCCACTCTCTCTCCTAGTCCATGACNTGTGTTTGTATATAGGGGGAATATCTCACTTACCCAGGACTGACTTTTTCCTTGATTCCTTTCTAGTGATGGAAACTTCCCTGGGGATGGAGACGTCCCTGGGATTGCAACCTCCAAGCCAGGGACAAGCAGAGAATAAGAATTTGCATGAGAGGAAAACCAAGCTTTCAAAGCCTCTGGATGCCTACCAGATCCCAATAGAAAACGAAGATCTTCCACTACTCCCTTTAAAAATCCCCGATATTCGCCAGATTCTGGCCTGCATTGATCCTCCTGGTCAAAAGGAGCACCCT